CCCCAGAACTGAATGACTTCAGAGTCCTACGAAAGTCTACAAACCTCCTTGGCCTTAAAATTGAAACCCCCATCCACTCGCTCTGTGGTGGCCTCCACTGCCAAGCGAAATCCATCGCTGGCCCGGAGTCGATCTAGGGCCTCACCGGCTCCCACAGCTCGAATCGAAGGTATTTCAATGCATTCTGTAGATATAAATCAATGCTACAACGATTTCAGAAGTGCAACTGGACGGAACGTCGCTGAGTTCGAGGGCAAAGAAACCCTGCCACTTACGATGTGCTCGTCTCCCAGCGAAGCTCGTTTGAAATTAGTCGGCTGCATGTCGTTTGTGGAAGCGAGCGTGCCCCGGATCTTTGAAAGGTCCGGAAAACTGAACGAAGAGCCTCCCGAGGTTAGTCCGTGCCTCAGGTCTGGATACCAGCAGCCGGACTGCCTCCGGACAGACGGTTCTCTTGACGAGCCCTGGTACTGGCTGCCATCGTACGGTTATAACTTATAGGTTATAAGGGTTACCATGGAAAGCCACCGGTTGACACCCCGCTTTCAGAGTGCTACATGCAAAACTCTCTCTCCCTTCGCAGACCTTCTTGCGCTCACTGGCATTTCTTTCGTCTCTTTGAGTGGCCCCAGGGCCTGGAGGAGGCTGGCGGAGGCCGTGGAGCGCCTGCAGTAACGGGCAGTCTCAACGCTCAAAGCGAGCGCTGAGGCTTTCTGGCGCCTGCAGGGCTCCTTGCCGCCGACACCCTGGCCAATGGCCTCCGGAGAGGGCCGCGAGAGAGAGAGAGACATGAGAGAGAGAGAGAGAGAGAAGCCGAGCTTTGGGCACGCAGGAGTTGCTGGGCATCCAGTTGCCTGGGTCTTGTCTTGGTTCTGGTCACAAAGACCGAGCAGGCAAAGAGACCCGACACTTTTCTCTTCAGTGGCGCCAAGTGCAGTCATGAGCTGAGCGGGCACCCCAGTTCAGGAAGCACTTGCGAAGATTCTTACGTGGATCCGGGGCATTGGGGTGCTTGTCAGCCACATCACTCAGAAGTAACACGCGCACGATGGCGCATCTGGCATCTGTAGTTGCCGGAAATTCTCAGAGCAGATCTTGCCTGATCTTTGACTTAGCCAGTCTCACGTTTGCTTTCACAACGAGCTCTGAGAACCCCATTGTCAAGTCACGAGCATGACCCACCGAATCTAAAGTGGATCCGGCGGATCACTCAGAAACATGCACTGCCCAGATTCATCCAGCTTCGGCACTTGTGACCTCTCAAGCACGCAGGCCCCGTTTGATCGTTGGCAGGTGCCACGGTGCCCCAGCCTCTTTTGCAAGGACGGATCCGTGCAGCTGTGCGGAAGAGAAGGGCGCCTTCATTCGTCCTTGGAATCACATCTCGCCCATCCCGCACGCAATCAAGGCGGTTCAAGAAGCCGAAGCAGTCCTCCGGATCTTCGACCAGGTCCAGGACCGCACGCCTGAGAGAAACGACTGCACCCGTGCCCAAACCCGTGCCCAAGATGCGAGGCAGACCACGCTGAGACCCCGACCGGGTCGTCATGTTCTTCTGGACCTCGCAGAATGCACGCATCGCACGACGGCGCCGAAGGGCGGTTGCGGTGCAGGACCCCCGGCCAGAGTGTGATATGGCAGCGACTTCCACCCCTTGGGCGGAGTGCAAGCGGCGCTCGAACCTAAGATCTGCCATCTGCACGGATTAACACGTATGTGCGAAGAAAGAAAACACACACACAAGAGTTATCTGTGATGAGCTATTTGTGGTGGAGGGGCCGCTGTCGGCTGCAGCGATGACCAGCACAAGCAGGAGGACAGTGTGCAGACTGGACCACATGCCAAGGGCCTCAGCACATATGTGGCAATTGAAAACGTCAAGCGAGAGGAAGATCCAAGTAGGCAAGCGGCTTCTCAAGGAGGCCGATCTCGTGTCGCAGAATGAATTGCGGATCGGTAGAACGTAGGCCGAAAGCGGCCTCTAATTCGTGGCTCTGAAATGGTAGATCTTGGGCCAGAAGCGTGCTGCAAAGAGACATTCCAAAGAGAGAGCTCCAGAGCCAAGCACTTCCCGCAAAAAAAAGTCGACCCCCGGCCGAGGACTCGAGGACCCAGCTTCTGAGCTTCCGTCGTCGCTGCCCTTCGACAACTCTCCTTCCGCCAAAAGCGCAAGGCCGAATGCCGTCGGGATGCCGTCGGATGCGGAGCTACAGCGCCAGAACCTCCGGGTGTCGCAACACGGAGGCGAACATGGCCTCAGACAGGCAGTTCGCAAAGATGTCCACGACACGGTGTAGCCATGTGTAGCCTAAGCCTGCGACGCATGCCCCTGCAGAGCTAGACGACCGGAGCGCCGCCTGCGAAGCCTCAGCACGAATCGAGTTGGACAAGGCAGGATCAATGAGAGCTCGACCGAGGCAGCAGCACGAGCAATCGCCTGGCCGAAGCTGTTCACAGCCTGCTGCCCAAAGCTTCAGTTGCGAAAGACATCACCTCCGTGCGAAGGGCCTGGCCTCCACACAGAGATCTGCATCCATGCCCTCAAAAGCACAGCCACATAGAAACGCCACCTGGCAGCTGTCTCAGAGAATTCCCTCTCCCACGGAGCACCCATAAAGGAGCTCCGTGCAGGGCACCTCGTCTAGACCCGCGGCACCAACCGGTCGCGAAGACAAGAACTGCTTGAGTTTCGCCCTGCAGTCCTTCCACCGAGCACAAAGGAGTAGGCCCGGGAGCTTCAGATTCAGAACTGTGACGCCACGCGCGCATGCGCGCGCAGGCAGGTGCAAAAATAAGTTTTGAGCAGGCTGCCAAAGAAGCGGTCAAACGGCACAAACATTGAGACCTGGCCTCGAGCGTCCTGACGACCTTTGCACGCTGAGCAGCCACAAAAAGGGATTTGGGAAAGCTTCGTCTAGCCTGGGAGAGTCTAGCTTGGCACCGGAGTCTTCAAAGCCATAGTGCTACCATAGTGCTACCATAGAACTATAGCAGATCCATGAGTCCATGGTATCTCAGTCTCGAGCTCCCTCGCTGGGAGATGGCCCGGGCGCCTCCTTCGGTGTCCGTGGAGCTCGGATAGCCGGGGCCTGGCAAAGGCTTTCCAGGATTGCACACAGCCTGTTCGGACTGTGTCCCTGTCTGGTTGTTTGTGTGTTTGTGTTGTGTGCTTGTGTGCTTGTGTGTTTGTGTGGTTGTGTGTTCGTTTGTTTGCTTGCTTGCTTGCTTGCTTGCTTGCTTGCTTGCTTGTTTGTTTTTTGTTTGTGTGCTTGTGTGCTCGTGTGCTCGTGTGCTCGTGTGCTCGTGTGCTCGTGTGCTCGTGTGCTCGTGTGCTCGTGTGCTCGTGTGCTCGTGTGCTCGTGTGCTCGTGTGATCGTGTGCTCGCGCGTGTGTGTGCGTGTGCGTGTGCGTGTGCGTGTGCGTGTGCGTGTGCGTGTGCGTGTGCGTGTGCGTGTGCGTGTGCGTGTGGGTGTGGGTGTGGGTGTGGGTGTGGGTGTGGGTGTGGGTGTGGGTGTGTGTGTGTGTGTGTGTGTGTGTGTGTGTGTGTACACATGTCTGTGTGTCTATGTCTTTGTGTCTGTGTCTCTGTGTCTCTGCGTCTCTGTCTGCCTGCCGCCTGTCTGTCACTGTCACAGGCACCATGATCGGGGTGACGACAAGACTATGCCCTGACCAGCTCGCTTCGGCCTGCTTTGTTCTCTCTCTGGAAGTTTGTCGCATTCGTATGCCTCGGGTTTTCTGGCCACAGGAGCCCTTGCCGCAAAACTTCTGATGCTTCAAGGCTTGTCATTCGGCTCACTTGGGGCTCCCTGCGCGTCACTGCAGCAAGGAGTTCCTCGCCCTGAAGGCACCCGATGAAGGCAGAGGCAGACGTCCACAGCAGAAACCTCACCCGCCTTGCGCTCGCGGCTTGTCAGGACCAGGCCCTGAAACCCCACCTGGAGCAGAGCGCCAACATGGACTCCAGAACGTGGCACAGCAGAACGAGCGACGCGCTGCCGCGCCGCTTCTTTTCTCTGGCCGCGTCGTTTCACGAAGTCGGAATGCCCGCGGCCCATGTCTCAGCTTGCCGAAACGGTGAACTGAAATGCCGAAACGGTGCGCTGCCGTGCGCAGCTGCAGGCCTCTTAGGCAGAAGCTAAGGAAGCGAAGGCGAAGGCGCCCCAGGATAGCAGGAACGGCTCGATGCCAACAAGGTACCAGTAGCCTCTACAACAGACAGCACGGCATCCTTCATCCTGGCCTTCAACACCAGAGAAGCATCGCTTCGAGTCTGGTGCCCCAAAAATCTCGAAACAGAGGCCCCCGAGCCAGCGCCTGAGGCGACTGCCGTGGCTATGGCTCTCGATGGCTCTCGTCACTCCTTGTACTGGCAGACCTTCTTGCACCGCAGTAGTTGTTCGTTGCACATCATCTTCCCGGCGACTGCAGCACCTGCACTGCCTGCGGCGGTCCAGGCACCTACGAAGACGCCACCTGTTGCCAGATCCATGCCTGCACCGAGCACACCCCCAACCATGGCACTCTTTGCCACCTTATCGGCGCATTTCCCAAACTCGTCTGGGTGGAAGGACGTGCCCAGGCATTCTTTCACGCATTCCAGACTCCGCTCGGCCAGCATTGCGGCCGACGCTCCGAGGGAGGGGAGACGATCGCCTCTAAGCCAAAGCTGCAGCCTTCGGTCGACCACTGAATGCTGACATCAGAGCTGCACAGATCACCTGCGTTGAATTGCCGTACAATGGATGTAAGCACCCTTTCTTTCTTTGTACTTCTCTGCTCCTCTCATTGCCTCAGCACAGGTTCGGGGCATCGCTTTCTAGTTCTTTCAGCTTTGCCAGTGCCAGCATGGCGAACTGGCTATGCTTCTCCGGCGGCTGCTCGTCACATTGCATCGTCGACAAACTGACGCTCGCTTCGCGGGAGAACTCCAAGTCAGAAGATGAAGTCGGTGACGCTGTCGCTCGAGAAGATCGCGGGGAGCGCAGAAGGGTGGAGAATTAGGCTCCTCTCGCCGAATGGAGCTGAAGGCAAGCGATGGCTGCTCGGGTCACAGCAGTGAGGGGCAAGCTGCACTCACGCAACTTCGCCAGCGGCCAAAACCTGGAAACGGTGCTGTCTTGCAGCTCTTGCAGCCCTGCCCCTTGCTGAGAGATGCCGAGAGGCGTAAGACGATCAGACTCCCAGGCTTCTTCAGCCCCCTTGGAGTATGCCAGCTGCACCTCCTCAGAGGTAAAGGACGTTCCTCGGGTCTGGGGCAGAGGCATGTCAAGGCATAAGGGCACGGAGGGACGCTCCCACACCCACAGTCCATCCCAGACTCGTAGCAGGAAGAGCACATCGGGCTTGCCCGTCGAATCTGCCATGAAACCCATCAACTCTGGCTCAGCCAGGCTTTCTCGGGGCACGTTGGTCTCTGCCACTGCCTCTCAGACACCGCCACCCTGCAGTCCCGTCCAGTCGCGTCCCCGCCTCGTCCACAACTGACCTAAAGAGCTCCTGCTGAACGGCGGAGGAAGCTGAGGCTGAGGGAGCTTCGCTCACATTCTTTGGCTCCGGGTGTCCACTGGGCCCATTGTACCTCGCAGAGACTGAGCCGCCACGTGCCCAAACGCGATGCCCAAAGGAGAGACTGAGGCTCGGGCAATCCCGAGTTGGTTCCCACAGCACCTGACTGCAGGGAAATCACCCCCCGAGTCCTCGAACAAGATCCCTGAAACTCAAAAGCGTCTCTTCTCGGGGCATCCCAGGGGCCGCTGCGGCGCAGGAGCACAGCCTGCACAAGACGGGGAAGCGGAGCACCAAAGCGCGACAGATCTTCAAAGGGTCCCCCCCCCCCAACAAGGATTCCAAAAAAGACACTTTGTCTGGACTTCCAGGTTGATCTCCGAGCCTGGCCGTCTGCAGTGGCCAAGACGGCCTCACAGCCCAGGGCCTGCGAGAAGTGGGCGGCCTGAAAGCGCCCAAAAGAAGTGGTCGAAGGGTTCTAAAGTTTTGGGGCTTTGGTTGAGGAGGCTTCAGGGGTTTAGAAGGGCTGTCCCGACGCAACCCATGAGCTGTGCCTTGTCCCCGAAGTCTCGGAGCCCATCCTCCTCGAGCTGTCTGCGCTCCTCAACGGGCCGGCCATGGGTCCCCAGATACTCCTCGGAGAAGGGGCAAAAACTGGGGCTCTTGGCGTAGATTCTCGAGATTGTAGCGCAATTGTAAGGAACCTGGGGGCCGGGAGTCTTGTTTGGATGTGCAAGGGTTGGGTTGGGATCCTTGTAGCCGGTGAGGCCGAGGTCCACTTGCAGGACTCCCTTTGACCAGCTAACGCCCTGGAGCCGAAACTTGGAGCCATCGTAGATTCGCGAATTCCTCGGATTGGCCGGGGGAAGGACTCTTGCCTGAGCCGGAATCCCCAACAGAGGAAACTTCAGGATGCATTGTTGCATTTCGACACTGTCCGAGGAGATGAGATGCTACGGGATGACATGTGGTGACTTGCAGGAGGAGTCCGCACGAGGTGATATGTGCGATAGCAGAGTAGCACACAAATCATGGCAACTCACGAAGCGTAACCGAAGCGATTCGTAGCTGTATATCTAGCTAACGACAAGCTGGATCATGGCCGGTCACGTTATTACGTTCAGGACAACGGGTGGCGGCATGGCATTACGACATCCTTCGTGTCACAACCAACATCTAACACGGCACGACAGAGTTTACAACGGGGCATAACCTGCAACACCGCAGCGGCATAGTCTAGCGGTATAGCGGCCGAGCATGGTGATAAAGCTAGAATAAGATAGCAGAGCAGCCTAGCACGAAAGAAAATTGAAGGCACAACGTGGTGTCGTACCATAGTCAGTTGGCCTATCCACTTTTGCTGGATAGCTTGTGTTTGTTTCCTTTCGTCAAAGTCGCTTGGTGACGGCTTCAGTCCAAATCTCCTCGATCCGGCTGTCGCTGCTGTGGGCCTGGAAAACATGTCGATGATCTGTATGACTGTATGTGTACACAAGCACATGCATACATACCTACATACGTAGGTACATGAACCCCTGCATGCACGCACTCTGATGAGGATGAGGATTTGGATGGTGAAGAGGCTGGAGGAGAGAGGAGATCGAGAAGGGGGAAGCCCCAAGGGGTCAAGGGTCCAGGGCTTTTGTCCATGGATGGCCGGTCCTTGCGATCGTTCTGCGGATGGAAGGTGACGCGAACTTGCTCAGGCTGCAGGGTGCCAGGCAGCTCCTGCAAGTGACCGCGCTGCGTGAATCCCCCCAGGAGTACACTTCAAATCCACCCGTGATGGTCGCCGGGCACAGATGTCCGCATTTCTTCTCCTAATTAGGTCAAGCCTGCATCAAGCCTAAAATGCGTGTGGCCTCGGCCGATAGCAGCAAGAAGGGCTCGTGTTCTGCCATGGCCAGCATCCGATGCTTGAAGCAAAAGTCTTCGACGAGTTTGGACGCGAGTTCAAGCCACAGCAACTACTCCACGCCACTCTCCGACAAGGGAAGAGTCCTTGCCTGTGGCCCCGCGATGGGCTTGCAGAGGTCCTTGGTTCATGAGACGGAGACGGTCCGCGTTTTGTTTGTTGGCAAAGTCTCCTTTCTTGGGGCCGTAGCTTCAGCGCAGGAGACCCAGTTGCGGCTTTCCGTCGGGCCGGAGCCTCGCGAGGGGTCGGAGGGGCCGGGACCGCTGACGGCGCTGTGGCGAGAAGCAGAGACTCCAGGCTCAAGCTCCGTCTCGCGCTTCGGCCACGCCTGAGCTGCAAGCAAACCGACTGGTCTCTGGTCCCTCAACCCCTAAACCTTTTTTAATCCAAGTGCCACAGACTTTGCCTCTGTACAAAGAAGCGGCTTCGCTCTTGGCCCCACTTCGCCGGCAAGCGCCAGAAAACCAGCTCACAGAGTTCGGCCACTCCGAGGACATCATCGCCGGAGCAGGAAGTTCTCATTATCTCGGCAAGAGCTGCTCTTTGGCAGTGGCTCTTATTTGCGATTGCCAAGCCGGACGGCTTTGGCAGACGCGCTCTTGAAAACAAAGCGGATGCTTGGCCACCGTCCGCCCCATGTAGGAGCTTCGTTTTTGTGGTACTTGGCAGGACCACAAAGGCCTACAGGTCCGCATCCAGGAGGCAGCCTGTCTCAGAAGATGATACCCCCCCAGTCCTCGGATCCAAGCCACAGGTGTTGCCCAACCCGTTGCCTTCGAGGCCTTGGACCGTTTTGCTGTCAAGCTGCAGCCTGCGGACCAGCCGGTAGAGGGAGGGAAAGGCGAGGAGCGTGAAAACCAGGCCTCGGCTGTGGAACGAACATGATCAGACATGGCTTTGAGAGCCCTTTGAAGCCTTGTTTGGCCTTGGCCGAGGATCTGATCCCCAGGCACACCCAGAAAAACGTGGTGATCAGCGACTGCGAGCTCTTCGCCACCTCCTCACACGAACTGCGTGCCACATGCCTTACAAGAACTGGACTCACGAGAAATTGTGTTTCCCGCTCCTGCAAGGTTCCAGGTTCCTTCAAGGCTACGGCACAGGTCTGCAAACTTTCGCCGGCCTCGCCTAGGAAGGGTACTGGCATCATTGCAAAGCTCACAAGTGTGCAGAAAGACTACCAAAAGCTGCGGCCATGCGACCTGCAGCGCGCACCCAGCAGGGCCGGGAGGTCTTGTTCCCCCATTGTGTGGCGACATCTTGGCTCAAGGAACCCACGAAAGCACCGAAAGGGAGCCGCAGCTTAACATTCCCAGAAACCGTAGAAATCAAAATCATACAGCCCCAATTTAGTGCCCAATGCCTTCAACCTTCCAGACGTCGCCGCTGTAGGCCCCGTCCGACCGGTAATTTGCCGACGACGCCGCAGGCACGCCGTACTCGTATGCACAGGTCAGTCGCCTGGCTCGCGCACATAAACAACACGATAATATGCTGACACATACATTCGGGGAGAACACAGACAGAAAGACAAACAGACAGGCAGGCAGGCAGACAGACGGACCGACCGACCGACGTTGCTTGCCCTCTTTTATCTTCTCTTCCCCCACACTTCTTTCTCTGCGGTCTCGCCCAGGCACTGTTTGGAAGAGGGGCCACCGAAATCAAGGTCCTGCATGGTGGGGACCGAGACCAAGGCCCAAGGCGTGTAGCCTGAAGCCAAGCAATGCTGCACCTTCGGTCGCGGTCCTGCCTTCCCCTAGACATCTCCGCTTGACGAGTAGCTGTAGGTCCGGCGCCGGCGCGAGCTGGCAAGGAGCCGTGGCTCTGCCTCGAGGTCGTCGCCTCCAAAGCAAAATAGAAACAGCTCGGAGCAGCGAAGTGAACTGCCGCCGTACGCGCCTTGCTCCCTTTGGAGACGACGCTTTGCGGCGTCGAAATCGAAGTTGGCAGCCTCCGAGCACTCCTGACAACCACAAGACGAGGTCTCGCACGAAAATATTGGGAGCGCGCCGTGGTTGCCCCTGATCCGAAGCCTATTTCTTTCAGCAGCAAATGCGAAGTTGCTGCCGCGCAGCTTCAGAGCTTTGCACAAGAAAGCATAGGAAGCGGTTCTTCACAGGATGCGCGCGCTCCAAGATTAACTATGTAGGTTCTCCAATCGACTGGCACGACTGGCGAGATCGATGCGAGTGCGGGGGCGCGCGATGCTGTGCTGCGCTGTGCTGTCCTTCTTGTGGAGGGCTTGACCGCCGTGCTTCTTCAGGATGGCAAGAATCTCTGCCTCTGCAAGTCACAGCTTCTGGTTCTCACAGCGGCACATGCCAGTACCTTCTTCAAGGGATTCAGACAGGATCGGCTGAGTTGCTGGGGTGCACCAGCAATGCTTCACGTGCCACGGCGCCGGATCTACGGCGTAGGGCTCCCTGTTCTGATCGGTGCCACATTTCCAAGGCCCGCTGGAGACCACCTGAGAGGTGGTGAGGACTCTTGAGTTCTAAATTCTTATTTCAAAGGGTTTAGGTTTTCGGGTTGCTAAACTCTAAGGCCCTAAGGGCATACATCAAACTCTAAACCCTAAATGCACTGCAGTCACAGGACGGCAAAGAACTTTTCTACCAGCATCCGCTGGCCTTGTACGCACGCTCTGCCTCAGGCACAGTGTAGATCTGCCCGTCGAAGAGCTCGGGCGCATATGTAATCTCGCCGTTACAATGGCACACGTCTTGCTCCTTCCCACACCAGTACGTTCCTTAAACAGAAGCAAAGGCTGCGGTCGTGACGAATTCCGAGCATCGAGACGCGACAACCACAGAGGCATTCAGCGAAGGCTACTGAATCGATAACCTTCCAATGATGAAATGCAATTGGGTGTGCTTTGGCCGGGTGCATGGATCACCGACCCCTTACCAGTTTCAGGGCTGGCTGCCCTGGCGGTTTGAAGCCGTGCCTGCCCTGGCGTCCGGTCACATCGGTCACAACATCGACCTTTGATTTCAGCGGTGTGCGCCTGCGTGTCATCTGGCCAAAGAAACCGGTGCCACCTTGCTCAGGCACATTGTGGCAAAGCTTGAGGATACGGCGAGCAACACGGAGGACGGGCCAACATCCCAGAGTCGGTCACTCTGCCTTGTGGGGATTTGCCGGCGTCCAACCAGGGAGCAGTTAGTCCCAACTCATTTCGTTGCCGGCGATGGCTTCAACACAAGGCGGGGACTCAAGCCATAAGGAAGAGCAGATGGCCGGAAGATCACGGAAGAACTTTAAGCTCATGTGAAGCCTATTAACTATACTTTCTGTGCGCGGCGCTCATCTTCAGCGCCCCAGAGCGAAAGCACAGACACACGGCTTGTTCTGGGCTTCTGACTTCGCTGTTCGCTTTTGCATCCGAATTCGACAATGTGAAGAGGTCCAACCGTCCGAGACAACTTCCAAATCGAACCATGGCTCCGGGGCAGATGGCAATCTCTTCGGTGAGAAAGACCGGCGGGCTCGTAGATGGCATCGAGCCCAGCTGATAACCGCCGCAGGTGCTCCTCGCAAGCCAAGGCCACGCAGGCAGACTCAGCGTTGAGTGAAGGTCCTGGTTTCGGTATCAGCGCAGCTCACCCCTGCTGCGAGCACCTCGCACTCCGTCTGGCGCCAGGCTGGTCGAACCTCCCACGCCTGGGCCAAGGCTCAGTGGCTCAGCGACTCAGATCCATGAAGCTCACGACAATTGAGGGTTCCGCCTGCGCCTTTCGAAGGAAGTCCCCGGCGTTAAACATGCCAACGAGCATGCCTGAGGGAGCAACCCGAAGTTTCAAGGTTCAACCCGATGACTCCAGAGCCGTGCCTATGGTGAAGAACCATCCGCAGACGCAGCATCCGACGGTGCACTGAATCACCTCTTTTAGGTCCTCTCGGGGAATTGAAACATGTCTACACTCTACACAGTGCTCCCTGTCTTCTTCTTCTGGCTCCAAAGGTACCCCCGAAAAAGCTGTACCCTTGGCGTCGGCGTGCAGAAGTGGTAAGCAGGCTTGGGTTCTGCAACTTCGAAACTTCTCGTTCTGGGGCACCGCGAAAGGCTGACTGGATGGTTGGCTTGCTGGCGACTCACTCGCCACATCTCAACATGCACTTCCTCACGTCCCTCGCTCGCTCGTTCAAGGACTCTCTAGCCGACTGACTGACCAACTGACTGACCAACTGACTCACTGTCGAACTCGTACCAAACAAACTCACTTAGCTGACTGGAAGTACCTAGCAACTTCACTGCTGCGGATGACGTAGCTAGCTGAACTGACCGACCAACCTCAACCAACCAACCAACCCGACAACCAAAACACTGACTCACGAACATTCACTATCAAATGTGCTTTGCCAGAGCACAGATCATGCAAACATGACGCCCATGACCATCTCTCTCACCATCTTACCCACGTCTTTGTCTGGAACAGTGGAAATTACAGAGATTGCCATGACCCTGACAAGAACAATCGTCTGTCCAGTGCTTTCACCCATTTTCCGGGCTGCTCGCGGTACGCCATGCGAACCGATGCTGCAGGAGCGAGCCAGACGTACCAAACCCTAGTGTTGCTCTTAGCATTACGGGGCGCCTGATGGTGAGCATGGTTCTTCTGGCAGTCGATCGTGCTGCTTTGCCGTATCTTTGGTCTGGCCAAGTGGGAATATGATCGACGAACAAACCCACGACCTCGAAGCCCCAGGCATTGAGCAAGACTGCTAATATTTCTGAACGTCAGATGCCAAGAATTTGAGCCAGGAACCTCGGGAAGAGAACAATTCATGCAAGTATGAGCTGCGTGACCAGAGAGACAGATAGACGGACAGAGTCAGACTCCAGAAGAACGGCCAAGAAGAAATTGCAACAGCAACAGCAGCAGCACCAACAACAATGACAGCAGCAGCAGCCACAGCAGAGGCAGCTGCAGGCGCAGCGGCAGCGACAACAACACGCACTACGACGATGACGACTGCGACCGTGACAGCATCACCACGACGACGACGACGATAAAAATAAAGCACAACTGCCGTCGCAGACAACGGGGGTGCAGGGACTGTAGCAACGACGACAGCATGCGCAGCAAAAATTCCTCACTGGCAACGAGTTTGTTCGAGTATATCCTACTCAGTGGGCAGCCGAGCTCCCAGCGGAGCGAGCGGCAGCTTAGGCAGCGGTTCGCGGACCCTGCACGTGGCCGAGATTGGCTATGTCGCTATGTCATCGGCTATGTCGTTTGCGTGACGGAATTCCAATGCAACTACACCGAACCCAAACCATACAAAGCCCTCCACAACCTCATGCTTATCAGCCTAACAACATGACATGCTTTTGCACAGCTTTCGCACCTCCTGCTCATGAGGCAGGATGGCCTCCTGCACCCAAGATGCATAGGCAAGCAATAACAAAAGCCAGTGGCAGTCAGAAATCTCAACGTGCACGTGCTTCCACCTGTAGGACAAAAGGCTCGAGGACAAGAGCTCCCATCGAGAAACATCTCAGGAAAGCTGATCAAAGTGGCTTCTGCTTCTTTGCGACTTGGGGAGTCTGCGGAGTCTGATACTGATGAGTCTGCAACTGCCGGTGCTCTGCTTGGTGCTGCTTGCTTGTAACATCAGCAGGAGCATGTGCTGACCGGCACAGCATCGCATGGTGAATACTTCCCGTAGCTAGCCCTTGAGTGGGACGGGCGGAAAGACTGCCTGCACCCTCACCGATACTGGAACCCGAAATCCACAGTAAAACTGTCTGGCATCTCAAGTGCAGCACAGTGGCCACAACGCACTGGAAGCACAAGTACCTGGAGATACAAGTCCTTTGCCCACCACGCTTGCACATGGCTGCTTGTAAGATTAGGCAGTACTGGACAACGACTTGCACATCTGAAATCCTAATAAATGCGAATTTCAACCGGATTCTCCGATATCACCATCATGATGATGATGACCATCATCATCATCATCGTCATCGTCATCATCATCATCATCATCATCATCGTTATCGGTGGATGGGGATGGGGAAGTGGGGGTGTGGAGGGTGAATTGGATGGCTTGGGTGGGTTGGGTGGGTTGGGTCGGTTAAGTGGGTTGGGTGGAGGCTGACAGGCAAGAAAAGGACATACCAGCAGAATCGCCTGTAAGTTTACATGGTTTTCGTTTCAAAACAGGACTGCAAGTTGCACATCTGCAATCCTGATTTCTAGCGGCTTCTTCCTGTGATGATCATGATCATGATGACGATGACTGCGAACATGGTAGTGATCATGAGCATAATCAGTTGATGAACTGCAAGAACGGTCTGCACTGGTGGGGGAGACATGTGCGGCAAAACAGTGAGAACATGCTTGCTGGAAGGGCCTGCTGTGAGTTTCACGGCTTGTCTGGGACTTTCTGGCCTTCACCTTCCTCCAGTTCCTTCGGTTTTTCACCTGCTGGCCGAGTCTTGGCCTCTTGGCTGTGATCTCGGAAGTTGAGTGTACAGTCACTACCATGCGAACTTCAAGCTTCTTGCCACCAGATCTTCGATCAAGTTGCATGCAACATCATGCAGGACAGCAGGCCTCAGCGCAACACCATGACCGTTGGTCGAGCAAAGGTTACACAGTAAGTACATGAAAAGGCATCATCACGCTTCACTGTAGCCTGCCCGATCTGCCAATCGAGTCAACGCAGTAGCTGACAATGTCGGAAACTTCCCCAGCATGCACACTGACAGCTGCAATCGAATACCGTTCTGAATGCGGAACTTTGCCCCCTACGTGATGCCTTTGCTTATGAAAGGCATCTTCCCCCGCAAGGCCGCATCAAAGCGTCGAGATAAGGCAGGACTCAAAGCGAGGACTCGAGCGCCTGGTATGCAGGATGTCAAGTCGTTTTGGCCCGTTGAGCCTTCTTGGAAAAGGGAGGTCTCCCAGGTTCTGAACGATCTCGGCCTTGTACACGTCCAGCACTTTCTGGTACGGGATTTGTTGCTTGAACATTGCCTGAAGGATGCAGCAACCACAGCGAGAGAGAAAGACACACAGACACACACAAGATCCATGGCAAGGAAACCCTCGACGTGACTCGATCTTGCACGCCGAAGTTGTCAATGCTGCTCAGTCCCGCCTCCTGCACCTCAGTGATATGCTTGCGCACCATCCCTCGGAGGTCCACGTGGGAAGCCTCCAACGGCGATGCATCCTGGGACAGGCCCGGGTTTTTTTTGGAGATTCTGCGGACGCTCTCTTTTTCTGGGAGCCTCGGGGCAGTCCACTGGCTCGCGGTGCTCGGAGTGCACAGGAGAAGACTGAGAAGACGTCTTGTCCTGTGAAACACACAGAGACAGAGACAGAGAGAGAGAAAGAAGAAGAGCCCTTCCAGAACACTTTCGGCCCTGGTGGCCTCTGGTCCTGCAAATGAGAGAGATTCTGGCTCCTTGCGCTTGCGAGACTGGAGAAGCCGACTCGCAGATCCGCCTCGCAGTTCCGCAGCCTTGGCCTTCAAGTCCACAAGCTCCGGCTCTGCCTGAGTCATAGTGTCCACAGATCACATGCGCTTGCAGATATCTGCCGAGTCCGCTGCAGCAGCTCCGTCTGGAGCCTCCTCGAGGGCCAGGGGCTCTTCAGCTTCGCGCGCCTCCGGCTGCAACTTGGCCTGTGCAACTATGAAAGCAGCCAGCAGCCTCGCGCGGCTCCGCGCGCCTCAAGCTCGCCCTGTTCCTTCGACTCTTCCCCAGCAGCCTCACATGCGAAGGCCTCCGGACGGAGCAAGCAGGTTCTGCACGCCTCTCTGTTCCTTCACTTCATGCTTCGGAGAGCCATGGGGGGCACCTCAGGTCTTTCGATCGTTGGCTGCTTGCCGCGCAGACGGCGACCCAAAGAAACCATCTGCTGAAAACTCAGCCTGCTCCGGCCATGGCAGGTAACCCACACTGCTGCAAACGCAAGCTCAGCCCCTGCCCGGCACCTCACGTCTCGAGCTTTTGGCACAGGATGCACCTGAAAAGAACAAATCTTGCGAATGAGTGCACCGTGTGGACTCAGGCGCGAAGAGAAAAGCCAGTCGTCGTGCCGTGCCCGGATTCGGAGTCTTGGGAAAAAACCACGGTTTATCAAAGAACATCAATATGAAACCTGTTCCGCTGCGAACTTGACACTACAGTGAACGCCGAGCGTTTGTGGTCGGCCCTGTTGCAACAACGGCAATGCCGGCAGAAGGACTCGTCCACAGAGCCCCTCTCTTCACGGAGTGTCGCAAGGTTGTCCGCCTGCAGTCTGGTCGCGAGAGCGGCATAGCCAGGGAGGGTTTGTGCTTTTCGGATTCCTTCTGACTCTCCTCGTTCATGTCGCCTTACTCCGTTGTGCTTTCTGGCCCCTGCGAGTCGAAGCTGGAGCAAGAAGACGCTATCATTCCTGTATCCTTGGATGGAGGGCAGGCTCCAGAAACCTTCAGTCTCCCTTCCGCGGGATTGGTGCTGTCGCTCCGGTAGCTGGCGAGACCCGCAAAGTGCTTCTGGCCACGTGCAACTAGCCATAAGACGCCACGGTCTCGCCTCGTGGCACTTGGCTAGTCGATGTCATCAGTCTAGGATAAGGACACAAAGCCACATGATCTGGGTCCCCAAAATGCACGGTTTTGGACGAGAATCTACGAGTCTATGGCAATCCACACTTTTTCGGCAGCCTCGGAAGTGACTTTTTCCGCAGCTTTTTTCAGACCTGACGGGTAGACACAATCGCAGAATTGTTCTATGTTCGACCTTCGGATCTTTGCCTCTGTTTTGAGGCCAGCAAGCTCTGATTGTCTACACTGACGACTTACATCTTCTATCTGCTTTCTCATTTGGTGTGTACCACTGGGAATATTGCCAGTGTGAGGCACTGAGCATATGGATGCGCATGCTGTTGTACGACGCACTTCGTCACGCACTGCTCTCCCGAACTCGCCCCGCCTGACGAGGCAGAATCGGCAGACTCCCTTCCTCGACGCTTCGTAGACTTCCGGCTGTAGGCCTGCGAAGGCTCGGGTTCGCCCCAGGCCTCGGCCCTGAGGGTCCTCAGGGCCTTGGGAGCACGAATATCTGCCAAAGGAGGAAGCAAGGCTCGGGGCCGAGAGGGCCGTTTAGGGTATTCAGGGTCAGCGTGCCTGTGCCTTCTCCGGGAGAAAGCAAGGATCCAGCTCGTGCACGGCTGGCGCGGGCTCCTGTCTGGTCCCTAAGTTCGCCTGCGTCTCTTAGACTGCACAGCTTTGACATGAAGCAGCCGAAACCTCGACTTCCTCAAGCAACTGTTGCGTAGGGCACAGCTCCTTTCGAAAACACAGCCCTTCGCATGCACAGCTGACACTCAGTGAGACTCCTCGGCAAGCTTTTGAGTAGGACAAACGTCCTGGAATCGAAGTGTTTCAACAAGTCCGATGAATAACACGAAGTCTGCAGTTCAAGAATCTCAAGACTTCTCTAGAACTCTGTCCTCAGGCACGTTCTCGGCGACAGAGCATCCCTGAGTGCAGGCAGTGCTGCGGTCGTTCGGACAGCGCGTGCCAGAGCGCATGCCTCTGGAACTCTTATTTTCTGATCCTGATCTGTACAGTCGGTTCTGCCATTTAGCCTTGCGAGGGTGTGGGGAACCCGGTCACAAGTGGCAGGAAGCCCGGACAAGCGACGTCTGGGAACCAAGACTCTGTACATGCTGTACATGACGAGCAATAATTGCCCACAGTACTGCGAGGACTCCTATGAAACCCTCTGAAATTCAAAACCCGAAACGCATCTCAGTCAAAGGAGGGACTGCGCCTGCAGTTACCCCAGTCAGAATCAGAGAAAGCCTTTCACAACCCGTTCCGCTCCCCTTGGCTCCTCCTCAGGACGCTTTGAACGAAGCGATCCTCATCGAAGTCCTCCCGCTCTCGGAGTCGCAGTGCCGCTCTGGAGCTCCTCCGCCAATTCGCGAGCTTCGCGGGACTCAGAGAGAAGACTGAACACAATGAGCAGCAGCAGCAGCAGCAGCAGCAGCAGCAGCAGGAAAAGCGGCAGTATGTGCAAACCCCAGAGTCAGGCCTGATTCGCTCAACGATGTCCTTCTCACCATGCCTCTGCCATTTGGCCACAGCCTCGCAGAACTTCGGGAAAAATTTGCCGCAGGTGTATACCTACCTGGCTTTTGACCTCGTGTTGCCGCATAGCATGGGCGGCATGCACTGGCGACGCTTACCAAAAATCGCTCGCAGACTCTTGTGTGCACACACGCAGACACTCCAGTGCACACGTGCTGCTTTGGTGCAAGTGTTGGCAATGTCTTTTACCGCCAATGTCGGGTCTTTGCAACCGGGACGCCTTGTTCAGATTCTGCAAGTCTTTGTGCAAACGACTTCTTGCTCTTGAGTCCTCCTCCGAGCTCGGAGCCTGCACGGATGGTCTAAGCTCTACTTCTGACCGCCTTTGGAAGCGCAAACAACAACACCTCGGTGCTCACGCTGCTGGTTTCGAGCTCCTCCCAGGTGTCTGGAATCTCCGTGTCCTCAACTCTGATGCACCCAAAGACACATCCGCAGGAATTGAGCTGTGCTGCCAAATTGCTGGCCGAAGAATCCTTCCAACCGGCCTGAGCTCAAAATCGGTGCATCTTTAAGAAGGGATCCCAGTCCCTCGGCCCTCGTCCGGCCTCTCGGCTGCAGCCACCGGGGCCGCCAAAGCCGCAGTCGGGCGAAGGACAGGCGGCGGTGTCGCCGACACCGGAGGCTCCGGAGGCTCCGGAGGCTCCGGAGGAGTCGGAGCACCCAGAGAAGCTGAGGCGTCCTTGCAGAACAGCATGCCGACCCTCAGCAGCACATCAAATCAAGCACAATGTACCATAATGACGACCGAATTAGGGAGACCCCTGTTGCTGTGACAAATGACATTCAAAATGCATTGCCGGCAACACCAGTACCGACGAGAGCGTGCACTGGTGTGCTGCAAGACGGGCGATTTATCGAGGATTGTTGTCTACATCGCAAAGTTCACCAGCCCAAACCATTGGCTACCCTCATCGCAGTCCTGCCGCTCTCGATCCCCTCGAGGACGAGCAAGCCAGGGTGGCACCGCCGGGTTCTGCAAGGCTGCAGGCTCCATGCACAAGCAACGGAAACATTCTTGAACCCATTCAAGCGGATCTAGATCTGCAGTGTCGAGACATCCCGCCCAGCCACCAAGACAAGAGCTCGGATCTGCAGAGAACCCCTGACCCTTTGGCCCAAGCTACCACCGCTTCTTACTCAGGTGCCTCAGTGGTAGCAGCTCGGCCCGACGAACGACGGGTCCCCTGAAGCCATGGAGGCGTGATCGATGCCTCAACCGGAGCCATCACGGTTTCGTAAGGTGGGGTCCCTGCCAGGGTTTAGGAGTTCAGGAGACCCGATGTTGGACGGAGCGAGCCTTGGTTGTCGGCTTGGCCGTGGCGCTCCGCTTGGCCGGGTCCTTTGTCTTCGTAGGTCGTGCCTCGGCCTCGTCATTCTGGAGCGACTCCTTGGCAGAAGGCGCGTTTGCAGTGCGGTCGCAAGGCGGGCCTTGGGCTGTGCAGCTGACAGCTGGCCTGTCTTATTTCCAATCTGGTCAGAAAGACTTACGTACAAGAACATGTGTCTTGGACACACTCAGAAGCAGACACATTCGCTGGAATCCTTCAGCATCCGTGTCAAAGGCCCCACAGTCAGTCACGGCATTGGCCGCAATCTTCAAATGAGGTTGACAAATGTAGAATGTCAACCCTTGCGAGGCTTGGTCTTCCAGGGCAAGGCTCCTCTATGAGCTGACATGATCTCTGTGTGGGCCCTTATGTCCCTCTTCTCTGAACAATCCCTACAATTCCGAATACTCAGTGCAGCTCATGTCACAGCACGAAACTCTTCATGGACGGCTTGGACGCTCACTGCAGCGGTGCGATTCTGCTGAAGTCCGTCGACGTCGGAGGGAAAAGCTTCCGCCAGATGGCAGAAGCAAATGAAGGGGGGGCTAAAAGATTTGAACTGTGCTTGGCTGGAACAGAGCCTGGCTTGCCCGAGCGAAAGGACATCGAACGTCTTTTCGACGCACTGCTACGAACTTCCTCCTCGCATTCAGCCACGGAGGTTTTCTGCCAAAGGTCAGTCACCAAGACAAAGCCATGCATGGCATCCACGTAGTTCTGCGCATATGCCTGCGCAAGGGTCAGAATGTCGTAGGAGCGCCTCATCGACGCGTGAAACTGCTCGATTTTCACGGAGATGACCTGAACCGCAGACGGCAGTTACCGAAAATGACCGACCCGGAACCCACCCAAACGCAGCTGAGCAGGTACCAGCTTGGTTTGACTAAGGGGGGTATAGGCTGATGGCCAAGTTGATTGCCTCAGAATCCTCCACAGCCGAGAGCTCACCCAGATGAAGCCAAGGAGTCCACAAGCACATCTCCACCAGCCAGCAGTGCCCGGAAACCGAATGCTTGGAAGAGCCGAGCAGGTACGGCAGGCGACCCGCCGTCAAGAAAAACGCCTTTCAGGGGGCGTTGTTGTGAGATGAAGACAGGGCTCAGGACGCCCACCCTAAACCCGACTGCGAATTACGAAGGGCCTGGCCTCTGAAGCAACGTTGCCAGCTTCGAAAATCGTGTCGGTCGCTGCAAAAGTTCTTTGCTGGAGGGCCTTATGAGCTAGCAGCTGCAGGGCATCGTCGCAACAGCTCGCCGGGAGGAATGCAACGAAGTCCAGCTGCCTGCGTGCGCACTGAGATGGCGAACGTTCTTCGCTTCCACAACCACGACAGCTCTAAGACGCGACGGGTGTCTAATCATAGTCAATTACAGCAAGCACACCAGAGCCAGGGCGGAATGAATTCCCTGAAAAGTCTTGAACACGCAGAATGCCTGAGGCAACTCGCGTAGCGTGCACACTGCAGCTCACCACGCAAGGGCTTAGAGAGGAGATCCAGAAGCGGGACCCTGGTTTCCAGCAATGTCTGCTGCTTCAGGTTGTAAGCATGCTCCAGGAAGCCTGCAAAAAACACCGAACGCCAACCACTTCGGTGCTCAACACTATCGAGTTTGCGGCTTAAACATCCACATCTAAGGCAAACCCACAAGGAAGCTGCTCCGAAACCAAATCCTGAGAACACAAACAGAAACCCGAGGTTGGCCAGGAAGCAGTGGATGCGCAGGGAGAGCTCCGGCGGGATCCCGTGCCGGCCTAGGAACTTGCCAAGCTGCCGGAAGAGGCGTCGCCTCTCTTCTGTGCTCTTCGACAGAGTGGTCGTCTGGCTGGCAATCGTCGCGAGCAGCGTCGAAAAAACCGCCAAAGCCAACAACGCGAACAGGATGCCAAAAGCTCGCTCGGCCGTGTTCACGGGCTCGATCTCCGTGCCGCCGAAGCCGAGCTGGCAAAAGGTCCTGCCCAAGAGTCAACACGCATCTGCTGGTATTGGCCCGTCTCGACCCTCTCTCTCTCTCTCTCTCAGTCGCGCAGAGCGAGTCCACAAGTGAGACCACTCGTCAGCAGCCCTTGAAATGGGACTAACGTGCGGGGAAAACATAAAAGTCGGCGGAAGCATACGGCATAACAGTCCAGGGATACTACATACACGATGAGCATGTCTATACAGGGCTCTTCGTTACCCTTTGCGGGTGAGACGATGGCAGGACTAGGGTAAATTTTCCGGCCACCGTGGGGAAAACTTAGTATGAAAGGATACCTCTATATTCACTGATGAAGCTCACCCGACGCACAAGGGGCATTCGTGACCACTCGCCGATAAAAGATGGAGCACCTGATAGTCAATCGATATTTGCATAGAGCATGGGAAGGCCGTGGTCCCCCGATTCGCCTCATGTCGGCTCCCCTAGACAGCATTGTGGAATAAATCTCAGGGTTGTATGATAAGGTGGAGTTGTCGTCATCCAGCATGGGGAAGCATAGAACAAATCATCTTGCTAGTAATCCAGGAATGCGCCTCTCTGCAAAGTGCGGGCGGGCGCACCTGCAGTCCCGACAGTCGGTTGGGGTGTTCCAGAGGTTTCCGGCTGCAGCGCATTGGGAGCCACCGTCTCCCAGAGTTGGCTAAACACGTAAGGGAAAAATAGGAAGTGTGGTCAGGTGGATTAACCATAGGGAGCCGCGCATCTCCCGCATCGGTGCCGCCATAAAGCGTAGGATGACATATAGACCAACGTAGAACCTCCAGCATATAAGTGTGGGAAACTGGCGTCCGAATCGAGGATATAAGGTCAGGTAGGAGAAAAACTAGGGAGAGCCCATCCTCCACTGCTGGTCAGATCGTAGTGGTGGAACTGAATTTATCGACCTGATTTTGACTGTCTGGTGCAGATGCTCGTAATCAGTTGGCATGA